TGAAAAAAAAGCGAAAAAAAGCGAAAAAAAAAGCGAAAATAAAGCGAAACAAATGCGAAAATAAAGCAAAAAAAAAGTGAAAAAAAAGCGACAAATATGTTTTTGCTGTACCCTCCTAGGAAAAAAACGAAAAAAAGTGAAAAAAAGCGAAAAAAAAAAAAGCGAAAATAAAGCGAAACAAATGCGAAAATAAAGCAAAAAAAAAGTGAAAAAAAAGCGACAAATACGCACAGCTACATTTTTTTGCTTTTTTGTTTGCTTTGCCTTTTGCTTTTTTTTTGCTTTGTTTTTGCTTTATAAAACTATTTTGGCTCCTTGTATCTATGGCTGGCGTGCCCGACATAAATATATATATATATATATTATATGTCTAAATTCCATGCATGGCGTGTCTCAGCTTCGGCTGTCACCACATGTCCGGCCTGGGCGACGCCTTTCGAGGTTCCAGTTGCGTCACCAGAAAGCCTTCCTGACGCATCAGGTGGCCAGTCTTCAGGACTTCCCTCCCAAGGACAACCCCGGTGGCCAGTCCTGTTGAAGTCGATACCTCTGAAGGTGCACAGTGTAGTGGTACTTGTGTTGCCAGGTCTAGGGACTAAGACTCGCCACATCAGGAATGCGTGCGATCCAACATCTCGGGCTCAACAAAGGAACTGCCTGCACCGTGAAAAACCTGGCTCCATGTTGAGTGAGCTCCGTGTGAAACCAAAGGTCTCCAATCAAATACCCTACACGACTTGTGGTATTATCTAAAAACTCCTTTGAAGGTATTGAAGAACCGATACCCTACACGACTTGTGGATCTCATCAACACTCCAATCAATTAACCTCCATTCAACAATCCCTTGAAGGTCCAGAAATGGTTCTGTTCCGAGTGTGACGTCGGCTTGGCCGGTCTACAAGCACACAATATATAGTTATATGTATATATCTAACATTATATATGCTTATATGATTATATGCGTTAAGTGGAAAATACCTCCCCAAAGTCTGTTTCACAATATGATTGGAAGGTGAAACTATCCAAGGTGAATCTTGGGTCAAAAACATGCCACCCATCCTGCAAAATTATTGTTTCACCAACCCTAAACCCTAACTCTATGTTCCTCTCCTCCACTTCCACCTGCTTCACTTTCCTCCCGCCAGTCACTTCGCTCCTCGACAGTCACTTCGTAGGTGCAGCTCGTCAGGGGTTCCACCGCCGAGCCCAAGTCCACCAAGAGCACACGCGCGCTCATCAGCAGTGCCTCGACTCACAATGAAGGTACAGGCAGTACACCAGTGGTTCGGTCACACGAACAACAACAACAACAACAACAACAACAACAACAACAACAACAACAA